CTCTTCTCACTCTCCGTTTGGGCAGCCGGCGGCGATGTGTCCCCGTGCCCAACAACGGTAGCACCGAAGGGCGGGTGGATCACCTCCGCGTGCCGTGTACGGACCTGCAGCCGACTGCCACTGCCCGCCTCCGAAGCGTCGGTCACGCGGGCACTCGCGGGCGATGTGTTGTGAACTCCCGCAGGTAAAACACGGGCCTCGCCGCCTACCGCCGCCACGGTCTGCCACCGCCAGCAGACATGGCGGCCACGCCCGACCCTTCGCGTAACACGGCGCGGGCCCGGTCCGCAAGTTCGTTCAGGGAAAGCGAATCCATTCGCGCTCCCGCCTTCAACACCACAGCTTCCGTAGTCCCGCCACAAATGCACAGCACAGGCCACCTTCGCTGACCCCCCCGAACAGGAACGCAAGCTGCTGGAGCTCCGCGAGGAAAACACCTACCGATTCCCCGCCCCGAGCTTACAATCCATAAATCGTTCATAAGCCGTGAACTTATCTAACGCAAAGGCCCTCTTCAACGCACCTCCTCTATCTTCTCTGGATCCTTCCTATCCGCTACTGGCAACTGCCGGTATACTGACAGCGCGCCTCCCTCCAGTCTCAACGGTATGACGATTTCCTGTCGCATTTCCGCTTGCTCTTCATCGCACCGACAAAGCGTGCATATCCATCTCCATTTTCTCGATCCACTCCACGACATTTGCCCCGTCCGATCCATCAAAGTTAGGTGTCAACTTAACATCAAGTCCCGCCATAATGCCGAAATAGCTTGCATTGTTCAGACACTGACATTACCGCCCCCCCCGCCCCCCCCCCTCCCGTGCGCCGCTCAAACCACTTCCGCTCCCGGCCGCCGCCGCCCCGCCGCCAAGCGGCTGAAACTCGCACTTCGGGGCAGAGCGTAGGAGCGAGCCGGTGAGAACTGATCATTGCACATCACAGCAGGGCTCTGGCTAAGCAACCGCTTACGCACAAAAGCAGATCAAATCGCTTACGTTGAATGATAGACAATAAAATGTCCGTTGGGCCGATGCATACCCAATGCAGGCAGCTTCTCGGAGGTTATTCCTGCGATGGTGTGGTGTAAGGAAGGGTAATTCGAAAATATACTGTTGTAGGTGTTTTACATATGTTTTACAGACCAATCAGTAGCACCCAAAACGCTAAATTGAAAAAAAGATTTAAAAAACTAGTAATTGATCGAGAAATATGGAGCAAACCACCCATACCACCAGTTTGCAGTCAGTCATGCGGGAGACAGCCGGCCCAGGGCAGTGGCCGCCGACGGCAGACGGCAGCAGCACCCAGTTAAGAGATATATGGCAGAAGAGTCTTCATTCTGTGGATTGATTTTTTAAGGACAATTTTCAGTTGTGTGGCTGTTGTCACACTGCTTTTGACAGCTTCAAGCTTCCGAATTCGTTTCTGCCTAAAATGTTGCGACAAGTCTTATCTCTTGAAAACCAGCCAGCGAAATGAAGGCGCATACAAAATTTGTCGCAGTGTGAGCCATCAATTCGCCTTCAAAATGTTCACCAACCTATGTCCAGGCCGTATCTTGGCATTTACCCTCTGGAGGCAGATGCCTCCTCAATGACCCAAAATGCCTACCCGCGCGTGGGGTTTCGCCTCCCCAGGAAAGGCAATGTTGAAATGGACGAATAATTCTGGGAAGCCGGGCAGCCTTATTTACCGAATGACACAGACGAGTCGAACAGACAAGATTGTGCACCTGCGAGAAACAGCTCTAGGTGCATATCTATCAAAACAGTCGTGGCATCTGAATAAGAAACGATAACAACCTTCATCTATAGCACTTCCCCCCTCTTTCCCCCTCCCCCCCCCCCCCGCACCCTCCGGTCATAGGGCTCGCTTTCCAGAAAATGGTTTGTGAAGCACGCCCTGAGCTTGCCCCCCATTTTTGAAACCTTCCTATGCTTATGATGTATACCAATTCTTATTAGTGAGCTTTTCGGTGCTATCTGATGCTTACTTCAGTTTTATTAAATGTGGAACGGTGTTTCGCATAATTCAATATCTTTCGCTTTTCGCCCATTGTTTTTTAAGAACAAAAGGATGGAGCCCTGATGGAAACAAGCTGACCTTTGTTGAGACACCTCTGACGCTATTGCCAGCCCTTTATCCTTCTGAGTTCAAAGGTTCAGGGTTTCAAGCACGGTGGATTTTGGAGAAGTGCATTCTTGATTGCAGGAGTCCCGTACTTAATCGCATTTTGCTATTTTGTTTTTTTTACCACAAATGGCCGCTGACAGACCGGCATGATGAGATTGCCATGGATGTCCAAGTCTCGACCTTTTGACCGCGCCCCTGGCAAGCACGCGCGTGCAAATCGGAACGTCGGGAAAGAGGGATAGTTGTTAGACGGCGCGTAATAAATTGCACATGCGTGCGTAGTACTTAACTCGGTTTACAGTGGTCTTTTGGAAGTTTTGCCTTCTCCCCAACTCCTGTCTTGAAGTCTGGCGGTTATGTCCCATAACAGACTTGACTTATTAATATCACAGACTTGATTATTAGACTTGGAAATATCATCGGCCGAGGTGGCCGAAGCGTAGATGTGCGCCTCGGGTAATTTTCTTTCTTTCCCACTACGTTCCAGCTCAGTCGCCTATCTTAGCTTCTTTTTACGAGGAGGAAGAAGTAAAGACCTCTCACTCAGTGCAACGAAGCATAATGAGTAGTGGAGCGCGTGCACAAACTTGACGGCCTATGCCTGTTGCCAGCTGCATGCCTGGGATAATTTCTACCGAACCCTCATTCCTACCACACTGCAAGTACTAAGTATTACCGACCATGGCAGATGATGGCGATGACGTCATGCGATTTGGCAGCTGGTAGACGTATGTGTAATTCTATTGCCATGGCGTTGGGAGGGGCACGGACACTACCGGTTTTTTAATATATATAAGTATCCTCGCGATAGATTTAGCGATGTATGTGGCATGGTGCTCAGACATGACAGCCTCAAACTGTTACGCTAGTTGTTTGTAGTAAACCCCAGGCGGTCGCCCATCGTTCTCAGACATTGAATGTGACAAGTCTGTTGATCTGTCCTTTGATCCAAGGCTGCACTGATCTGTTCTTGGAATGTTTCTGTCAGTACTTGCGGTCGGCAGGGTGGTTTTATAGCTATCTCATTTCAAAGGTAAGATCATCTTGTCCAGCTTCGTGATCTCTATTCATATTTTACCTGAAACAAATGGGTTGCCTTGGATATCGTGTTGTCCCAATATTTTGGAAAGTCCTGTCTTGAAAGACCAATATGACACCTAATGCTCACACTAAGACCCTAATGCCCTTTTCAGATGTTGTTAGTCACCCTAGTGTTTCTTCTGTGTCTTGTAAAAAATATATAGTTGGAGCATGTGTTGTGCATTGTCTGGCATCCTGGAAATACTTACTTTTCTTACATGTGATGTTCTAAGATATGGTTTAAGCAGATGTTGTGCATTAGCTGGCATCCTTGAAAGGCTTACTTTGAAAGATTGAGGGAGAGAAGCCAATAACTTTCCCAAGGCATTTTTCATTCTAATGTGATGGAATATGCAACTTATCAGCCAGTCACAGTCCTGGAGTGCAGATTCTGTCATCATCATAACAACTGAAGTGATGGCAGGGAGGAAGTGTAGTCCTGTTACAAGATGTTGGCAGCATTATCCAAACTAAAAGATTACTAGAATTGATATCTATGTTATGCCTTTGCAGTGCTGCAGGTGTACCACATAATGCTATTGCATGCCACTCATCCTGGGGTTTCACAGGAATATTTTGAAGTATGCCCTGAGGGTGGGGACACTCCCATCAACCTTACCATCCATGAAATTCTTAGTCAACAGCATGATGTTTGGCAAAAGCTTAACAAACTGCAGTGCTTGATATGACTTATTGAACACTTTGTTGCAAGTTGTCCCCTGGGACAGCAGCTGTGACTGCCCTCAGACAGGCTCAGTTATGGGCTGTCTCATAGAGTTCTCACTTTGCAAGCCAATTTCACTGGGATGTTGTGTAACTTCTCAACTTCTGTGTGCATGTAGTTGTTGCTGATTTTCTTGAAGTCAAATATCTGGCTGAGTACCCAAGTTTGTAGGCACTTAACATGTGTTGGAATGCTTTCCTCGAAACATCTTTGGGAGATGAAGAAACCCCCTTGCTAGATGAAGGTCATTTGATTTTGGTCTCTGGTTTTGTTTTTGTCATTGCATTCCAGTAATGCATTGCTTATCTCATTTAATTGCTGATTCAGATAATGATTTTGAGAATTGGAGATGAGTATTTCAGATTCAAATCCTGATTTACACAGTTTCATTTTGTTGCTTTCAGAATTTTCATTTCTACTTGGAATGGCACATGATGTCATGGCTAATAAGGTTGTTGCTGACGCAAAGGCATGTGAGATGTTGTCTGTGGTAATAGCCACTGTATTGCAGTGGGGGGGGGTCACAGCTCATGATTGGTCTGCCAGGCAGGAATGCATATAAATACAGTGTAGGCTTTTCCTCCAACTTTGTAAAACCACTGTTTTTTCTCTATGGGCTTTGAAGTTAGCTTTGAAACATCCTGCACAGGTGATTTTGGCTTCAACCTCTGATTGCCATTGTTTTTGACAGCTGACTCTGACTCTGTCTTTGGTCCTGATGTCCTATGGCCCCGATCACCAGTGCGTTTTTTATTCTTGTTAAGTTTGTTGCTCTCACTTAAGCATTTCTCATGTTTTCTTACTATGCCTACTCTCAGCTGGGCAGATAGAACAAATGTTGGAAAAATTATCTGGTAATTGTGGACCATTGTACAGAAAAGTTTTGCATCCATCCTCTGTTGTGGAGCTGGGAGTGTTAAGTAATTTATGTAATGCTCCATGGGTGCTGCTGCTAATGCTCCTGCGAGTCCTTGCATGCACTGCTCTGGTCTGCTGAGCGAGGTGCGGCGCGTCCGTCTCGCGGCAGTTGGTGTGCTCACCTGATTGCGCGCGTGTCTCACAGGTGTGTCGGGCCGGGCCGGACGCGAGCCGCCATGCCAGAGACAAGTAGTGCCAGCGTGGTGAAGATCGCCGTGCGGATGGATGGCAAGCAGCCGATCCTGACTGAGGTCGACCTCAGCCAGCCGCTGCATAAGCACATCCTGGACCTGGCCAACTCCTGGGGCCTGGCCGAGCCCAAGCAGTACGCGCTCAAGTTCACCGACAGCGAGGAGCGCTACATCACAGAGAAAAACAAGCTGGAGGTGCGCAATGGCTGGGTTCTGTTCCTGGACGTGTCGCCAGCGCGCGCCACGGCCACCATCCTGCAGCAGCTGAAGTCGGAGGAGGCCGCGGAAGGACTGGAGACGCTGTGCCGGCTCAGCCCGGACCCCACGTTCGCGGCCGAGTTTATCTGCGAGGGTGGCCTCCAGCTGCTGATCGGTGGCATTGAGGCTGACCAGTACGGTGACGCGGCGCTGCCCAACGCGCTAACCAGCTTCCTCGAGCTGATGGAGCACGGCATCGTGCTCTGGGAGGTGCTGGAGGCGCGCTTTGTGTCGCGCGTGGCCGCCGTGGTAAACCGGCTGGCGGCTGACGGCGCCACGGCGCGCGGCGCGGACCGCACCAGCCGCGTCGGCGATCGTTCCAGCCAGATCAACCTGCAAACGCGGCCCAGCCTGCTCAATGAGCAGCTGAAGAAGGCGCTCCGCGCTGCGCTTTCCATTCTGGACAGCGTGATCGCGAACGTGCCGACCCGGCACGAACTGATCAGCGGGGAGGTGGAGATGTACCACCTGATTACGCACCTGCAGCGCGCCGACGCCATCGTCCAGCAGAACTCGCTGGCGCTCATCAATGCGCTGTTCGCTCGTGCTGATGGCCGCAGAAAAGAGGAGTACACCATCAGCCTAAACTCCAAGAGCTTTCGCAATGTCATCCAGACGTACGTCATCAACGTGAAGAGCAGTCAAGATATGGGCCAGGAGATCGCCCACCAGCTGTACGTGCTGCAGACGCTCAACCTGAACCTGCTGGAGGGGCGCATGCGCAGTGCCGTCAACCCGCAGGACCCGGAGGTGCTGGAGAAGATCAAGCAGTTGCGGAAGCTGGCGCTGGACGATGAGAGCAAGGGTTCGGCCGGGCGCAAGCCGGGCAGCTTCGCGAAGGACTACCAGCAGCTGGGCTTCCAGGACGGCATCAACCCGGCGCACGACTTCAGCGAGACGCCGCCGGGCGTGCTGGCGCTCGACTGCATGCTGTATCTGGCGCAGTCACACGCCGAGCTGTACACGCGACTGGTGCTGGAGAACTCGTGTGGCTCCGACCACGAGTGCCCGTTCGGCCGCACCAGCATCCGCTTGACGGCGCTGTTGTGTCGCATTCTCAAGGTGGGCGAGCCGCCGTCCGACCAGGGCAGCGTCTTCTACCCCATGTTCTTCTTCCAGGAAAATCCGTTTGAGGAATTCTTCTGCATATGCATCAACCTGCTCAACAAGACCTGGAAGGAGATGCGCGCCACTACTGAGGACTTCGACAAGGTGATGTCGGTGGTGAAGGAGCAGATCACGCGTGCGCTGCACGGCCGCCAGAAGCTGGCCGAGGGTGGCGGGGGTAAGCTGGAGGCGCAGACGCGGCCCGACCCGCCCTCCACCCTGGATGAGTTCCGCACTCGCCTCAACAACCTCACCTACTCCCAGATCAACACCATCTGGCAGCAGGAGCAGAACACCAAGGAGGAGTGGGAGAGCCAGGTGGGTCCCGGCGTCGGCTGCCGACCGGGGGCATCCCGGACGGGCTGCTGGCACCAGTCAGAGCGACCGGCCGCCGCACGGCAGACTGTTCCGCCGTTTAGTCAGACGTTGCGCAGACCGCGTGACACATTGCGCTGCTGTGCTCACTTGTATGCAATGAAAGGCAATTACAGTTCTTGGATAACATTGAAGGTATATTTTGTGATATATCATTGTTTTCTGTACTTGACATGTGTGGAAGTTTGATTGGCACTGCCAAAGGACAGGATGCACGGAAGTTATTCCATATCTTTCCCGAAAGGAGACTATGGGAATGTTGGTGCCGTCTGCTCCCCCCAGTAAGTCCGCGATTGAAACCGCGGCGGCTGCTGAATCGGTTTGGCCGCCTGCTTCAGGCGCGTCCGATCGTGGAGTTGCGAGAGCAGGTGACGCCGGACATGCTGGAGCTGGTGCAGATGCAGCGGCTGCAGTACCTGGTTGAGGGCACCCGCTTCACCAAATACACATCGCGTGGACAGGTTTGTGTCCGGCGCACTGACGGCCGTCCCTTGTCCGATGTTGTGCAGTGCGGGATGGTGACGGCGCTCGTCCTTCTGTGTTTCTTTTAGGCAACGGGAATGGGATACTAGATGAGCTCACAACGGATCGGCGCTTTGCATAGGATTGCTTAAGTGCAGATGGGTCGCACCTCGATGTAAGTGTTCGTGTGATATGTTCTTCGTCCGTCTAATGTGTCACGAAACAGCTGCATCGCTCGCATGTGTGCTCCGGATTGTCTGTTTCTACTTCTCTGCATCGTAACAATTCGGCGTCAGTTTCTGTATCCATTTACTACTTAACATGCCTCGCTGCGCAGTCACGCAGTCAGTTCACTTGCACTTGGTTTCACCTTTACTGGGCGTAGAAGTGCGTGGTATGTGAATCGGGGTGCGCTTCCTACGCATCGCTACCCGCTGTTTCGCGGCCGGTGCCGCCGTTCTGAGGGGCGGGCCTCCGGCTGCAGCGCGCCAAGGACAAGTTCTGGGTGGTGCGTTTGTCGCCCAACCACAAGCTGCTGCACTACGGCGACTGCAGCGAGCAGGCGGCGCCGTCGCTGGACGAGCTGGCCAACAAGCTGGCCGTGCAGGAGGTGCGCGCGCTCGTCACCGGCCGCGACTGCCCGCACATGAAGGACAAGTGAGCGTCGATGGCCACTGAGACTGCCGAGCCGAGGGCTCCGCAGACACAGCCTGGTCTTGAAACATGTTCACGTGTTTTTGTTAAACACGCGTGCGTGCCTTGTACTTTCAGCCAATTGCCGCCTTTGCCCGGCCGAATCGTTACTTGCGCTAAAAAGATTATCTATGCTCACTGCGAGCACCCTGGCGAAGGACCCGCACGCACGAGTGTCGTGCGCTGTGGCGTGGCCGTGCATAGTGGTCACGTTGAAATCGATTGATAGAAGTAACACAAAACTATCCGTGTCCCAAAGCGATCGCTCAAAACCGACGAATTTGCATTTGTTCGGAATGCGTCCGCCTCCTCGTCTGCCTGCTGCGCGCTGCTCGCGTGTGGGGCCGCTGTCGTAACCCGGGCGGTGACGTGTGTGTCAGGGGCAAGAAGTCGACGTTCCAGTTGGCGTTCTCGCTGCTGCTCGACTCGCCTGATGGCGGCTCTCTTGACTTCGTCGCACCCGACGAGAAGACGTTCGACTACTGGACGGATGGCATCAACGCCCTGCTCGGTGAGCTGTCCCCGCCGCCGGACCCTCGGTGGCGGGGGGGGGGGAGGGGGCGTTGAGCTCTTGACGGGGAGGGGCGCAGCGGCACCGGACCCTCGGAAGGGGGGGGGGGGCCGGGGCGGCGCCTGAAGGGCCAAGAGCCGGCAGTCTATTGTTCGCGATTGTGTAGCTTTAACCGCGTTTGTTCTCGTTCCGAGGTTTTTATTTTTATGTGGTGCCGTTTGCGCCCTTTTGTTGGCCTGATGGTATGTTTAGGATATATCTGTGCGTTTAGCTAGTGACCCGACTTTCCCCTTTGTTTTGACCTGGCCTGCTGGGGATATGACGGGATTCCGGTGACATGACTTACCGGAGATATGACGGGGCTCCGGTGACATGGCCTGCGGGGGATATGACGTATGGGATATGGGGATATGACGGGGCTCCTGTAACGAGACCTGCGGTGGGATATAACGGGGTCCCTGTGATCTGACCTGCCGGGGGTAAGACGGGGTTCCTGTAGCCAGACCTGCGGTGGATATAACGGGGTCCCTGTGATCTGACCTGCCGGGGGTATGACGGGGTTCCTGTAGCCAGACCTGTGGTGGATATAACGGGGTCCCTGTGATCTGACCTGCCGGGGGTAAGACGGGGTTCCTGTAGCCAGACCTGTGGTGGATATAACGGGGTCCCTGTGATCTGACCTGCCGGGGGTAAGACGGGGTTCCTGTAGCCAGACCTGCGGTGGATATAACGGGGTCCCTGTGATCTGACCTGCCGGGGTATGACGGGGTTCCCGTAGCCAGACCTGTGGTGGATATAACGGGGTCCCTGTGATCTGACCTGCCGGGGGATATGACGGAGCTCCTGTAAACAGATCTGCGGGGAACATAACGGGGTCCCGGTGACCCGAGCTGACGTGTTCGGTTTGGCAGGTAAGCCGATGACCTCTGAAGAGGCCGGCCGTGATCTGGACATGCTGCTGGCCATGGAGATCAAGCTGCGCCTGCTGGACACGGACGGACTGGAGATCCCGCAGCAGCCGCCGCCCATTCCGCCCGACCCGCCCAACTACGACTTCTGCTGTGACTGACCTGCCGCACGCGGCGAGCAGCGGCGGCCACCGCGCACCCGAGGCCGGGCCCGGCCGGCCAGGGCGCTTACCGCCCGTGCTTCTCTGTATTTTACAGCGCATCGTTTCGACGGAATGAACGTTGTTTTGCCCCGGCATGCAGAGTAACCGAGCGGAACAGGCGCGTTGGGCGCCGCTCTACCATACGGATCTCGCTTACTTGGCCGCGGCATCAGACGCCACTGTCGACCGTAAGGCTCATAGCTCAAAGCTCTCTGGGTGCCGCTTCGCGAGCCTGTGGTCGGCAGGCCGTTGCCTTTGCTCGGAGCAAGGCGAGCTATTTTGTGTTCGACGTACTCGCCGCGCCATCCGCCCGCCGCCGCCCGGCACCTCTGGCAGACCGGACGGGCGCGCGCCAGCCATCCGCCCGCCCCTGCCCGGCGCCTCTGGCAGACCGGACGGGCGCGCGCCAGCCATCCGCCCGCCGCCGCCCGGCACCTCTGGCAGACCGGACGGGCGCGCGCCAGCCATCCGCCCGCCCCTGCCCGGCGCCTCTGGCAGACCGGACGGGCGTGTGCCAGCCTTGTTCGTGCCGGGCTTTCGATCCGTTCTTGCAGGTCACAGCATGCCAAAGCTTGTTTGTTTTACGCAGGTCTGGCGCCGTTTTCTGGCGCTATAGAGCGCTTACAGGCAGTTGTGAGTACAGTTTGACCAGTGGTCGGTCCTCAGCACATACGCACTGATTGTCAATGTACTGCTCTGTGGGCCGTCGTGACGTGCACGGCAAGCAGCAGTTATGGGAGTGAGGGACACCGTCTACCGGCTAGAGACGGTGGCGGTCTCAATGTCAAGCGAGTGGTGATTGTCTCGTCCCGCTGCTGTGCCCGCGTCGAGCACTGCGCGCATCGTAAGTTTTCATTGCATGTGCTTTTCAGCTCTATGTCACGTGCCTGAGAAGAAGTGAATTTCGCCAACGGAGTGATGGAAAAGCAGTTCCTTGCTACCATATGTACGTTTTTATATGGACGGATGTGTACCATTATTAGTCCAGGCATTGCATATTTGACTATATTCTTAAATAGACACCGACAGAGAATCCGATGTGTGTCAGGGGCAGTGCGACACGCCGGACTCCGTTCAACATATCGGAAGGGCATCGCACGCGCGTAGGCAGCTGGCTGGCGAATGCGTCGCATTCCGGGGATCTCGTGGCACCACCACAGCATAGCAAGGATCCCAAACCAATGAAAACCGAAAGGCGCCACGACACGACTGGTAACGTTCGGGGCAATGGGATCCTCCGCGTTTTTGGAGTCGCGACAGCAGACTAGCAGTTGACCAGGGCTGCGGCGACAGCGGCTGGGTTTCTGGACGCCGCCGGATGGATCGGCTCCCGCTCGCGGACCGCCCTAGGAGTGTCAGCTGGCGCCACGTGCCGTCAGCCTCGGACGCCTGGACGGAGAGCGCGGCAGGGATCTGCAGCGGGGCACCGGCTGGGGCCGTCCCGCGGCGTCCGCTGGGGTCTGCAGCGGGGCACCGGCTGGAGCCATCCGGCAGCTTCAGCTGGGGTCCGCAGCGGGGCACCGGCTGGAGCCATCCGGCAGCTTCAGCTGGGGCCCGCAGCGGGGCACCGGCTGGGGCCGTCCGGTGGCGTCAGCTGGGGTCTGCAGCGGGGCACCGGCTGGGGCCGTCCCGCGGCGTCCGCTGGGGTCTGCAGCGGGGCACCGGCTGGGGCCGTCCGGTGGCGTCCGCTGGGGTCCGCAGCGGGGCACCGGCTGGGGCCGTTCGGTGGCGTCAGCTGGGGTCTGCAGCGGGGCACCGGCCGGGGCCGTGCCGCGGCGTCCGCTGGGGTCCGCAGCGGGGCACCGGCTGGAGCCGTCCGGTGGCGTCCGCTAGGGTCCGCAGCGGGGCACCGGCTGGGGCCGTCCGGTGGCGTCCGCTGGGGTCCGCAGCGGGGCACCGGCTGGAGCCATCCGGCAGCTTCAGCTGAGGTCCGCAGCGGGGCACTGGCTGGGGCCGTCCGGTGGCGTCAGCTGGGGTCCGCAGCGGGGCACCGGCTGGAGCCATCCGGCAGCTTCAGCTGGGGTCCGCAGCGGGGCACCGGCTGGGGCCGTCCCGCGGCGTCCGCTGGGGTCCGCAGCGGGGGCACCGGCTGGAGCCATCCAGCAGCTTCAGCTGGGGTCCGCAGCGGGGCACCGGCTGGGGCCGTCCGGTGGCGTCAGCTGGGGTCTGCAGCGGGGCACCGGCTGGGGCCGTCCCGCGGCGTCCGCTGGGGTCTGCAGCGGGGCACCGGCTGGAGCCGTCCGGCGGCGTCAGCTGGGCTCCGCGCTATCAGCGGAGCCGTCGGCGCCGCCGCCAGACGGCGACTCTAGTGTGATCGTTACGGGACCGTCGTTCTGGATCGAAACTTGCATGTAGGCGGCGAACAGTCCATCTGGAACGAGCGCAAGGTGAGCTGGGACCGCTGGTCGTGAGACAGGGGCCCTCTACTGTGGGCCGGGCCGCACCGCGCGACCTGACTCCGGTCGTCATGCAGGATGGCACAGACACACCTGTCTCCGAAGGGCCCCTGGAACCTAGACAGCTCTTCTAAGCAAAAGGTAACATCCTCATATAAGGACAGTGACCTCGTTTGACCTTTTGAAGAACATGGTGACCAAAATCATACAAGACCACTGAGTTTTGCATTTGGATAAGCCATATAGATTACGGCACGCAGTATGTTCCTTAAAACAAAATGTTGGTCTGGGTCATTCCAGGTCAGTGACCTATTCGGATCTTTAAGAAGTTTATGGAAGGTCCATAATACGGCTCCTTTGATCAATACATTTGAAGTGCGCACCAGAAACTACCCCATACAACAAGCCCTACAGTAATAAAGCAGGTTTATGTTGACCTTGGCATGACCTTAATAACGGACCTAAGGTCAATGTTATTTGTTCATTCAATTGTTGTGCTGTCAAAGAAAGTATCTCAGAGATTGCATCTCACTGTTGTATCTCACTGTTGGATCAGATTGAACGATTCCCTAGAAATTGTCCTTGCTGAGACGCGTTTGACCTGCGATAAGTCAGCGACCTCACAAGGTAAATCTAAATATTTGATGCCAAACGATCCGCTATTCAATTGTCTACAGCTATGCAAAATTTGGCGCGGCTACGCCCCGACGTTCGGAAACAATTCTCGAAAAACCTTCGGCGGTCAATTTGACCTCCCACCCGGGCGCGTGTAAAGTCGCGTGAGTCTGCCGTTTCCCCAATGTTCATTACAGCGGTCCAGAGATTGACGCCTGTGAACCGCCATCGTAGCACGTGCAGTGCTCAATCGCACCAGCACCGTCACCACCCGAAGCCCGTATCAGCTCCAGACGGGTGCTGACCGCGACAGGCGGACATCGGCCGACCGCTGGTCACTGGCAGCTCTGCGGCTACACCGGTGGCGAGACACCCGGCACGACACCGACCCCCGAGAGCGTAGGTGTCGTGGACACGGCAGCATAGTCGGGCAGCGCTTCCCTACCTTTGACCTTCTCCGAGCTGTATTCGTCGCGAAGCCGGTCCACGAAGCGCTGGTACAGCTGGCGCGCTTCGACGCCGCCCATGGCACGCCGGAAGTCGGGCTTGTTGCCCTGCAGCTTGCCATAGAGCGTGAACTGGCTGACACAGAGCACCTCCAGTCCACTGTCGCGCACTCCGCACGCCCACCGCTTGCCATCGGCGGCCTCGAACACGCGCAGGTTCAGCACCTTGCGACTCCTACCGACACATGGTCAGAGTAGTCTGGCACTGGCCTGGTCTCACAGTGCCCTACTGAAATAGCATACCTCTCCCCTCTCCCAGCAGAACAACAAACATGAAATGGTGTAAAGGACACAAATTACTGCCTCTAGTTGTGAGCCAGATCATATAAACACCTGATGTGTTCACAAGGGCATTCTATACAGTGAACATGTTTCAGTGCCACAAATAAGATCACTGAACTGAGCCCTCAAATCTGGCATGTGGTTGAACATTCCATGCTGACAAAAATGCTGTCTCAATTTGTGGCACTATAACAGACATTTTATGCTAAGTGCATGTGAGGCATGCCAATGCAATGCATGTTGCATCATATTTCAGTTAGTCAGTTGCTAACTGTTGGCACTGCCTAAATGGTTATTTTCCTTGACCCAGACATGGCTTAGCTACTTAGCTACAGCATTATTTCTCTCTCTCCCCACCCCCACCCCCCTCCCACGAGCAGCATTTTGTATTAAAAACAGATGTGTTATACCCTACCAAACATTGGCACAATCGTGCAAACATATGATGATCATGAAAATACAAAAAACATTGTATCAAGAGCATGTCATGTGACTGAAGTCTGAGCCTGATAGTAGATGGAAGGAAGTACAGACAAAATCATATATTTTGAAGACCAACAGAAAGTGATATGCTTACATATATTCTAGATCCTTATCTGTATCATCTCTTGAGAGGCCAACTAGGATGCACAGGCCTTTTTAATGCTACTGACTAGCTGCCCATCAACTGAAATAATAATGTCAGCCATTAGTACAGTGCATGAAGAATCATCAGTCATGCCACAGTTACAATCTGACCATAATCCTCCATTTCATTACAAATTATCTGAACATTCTCACAACATTTAAACACGACAAAAATAGCCGAACCGCAAAAGCAATGGACATCAAGTCCTGAGCTCTCATTCATGACAACAATTTGTCTCGATGTCACAGGGGTGCAGGCTATAACTTAACATCATCAAGCAGAAATATTTCTGAGCAAGTACAATAAGCATTCAAATCTGACAATGAAAACCGGAAATGGCAGACATCCTACATTCAAAATGACACAACCAAAATGACAGTATTCCAACATTCAATATTACCTGTAACACTTGCGTTGGACACCCTCTGAACGACAACCTTCATGGCTTAAACTTCTGTAAATAAGCAGATGCTAATGTGGCTCATCAGCTCCAGTGCCTGAATGCATAGGAGGGGAGAGACTGCATAGCACTAGAGAGGGGAAGCACGGGAAAACCACACATGTGCCATTTTGCTTCCACAGACTTCCACCGAAAAAATGGCCAACAGGTACCCTCACCCAGAATCTCAATTTGTTGCATACATATGGGAAAAAACCGTAGTATTAGTAAAAGCTTGGTTACATGGGGCGCCGGGCCGTTCCCTCGGCCAGCATAATCCACACATGCCACAGGGCTGATTGGTGAAACACCGCCCCGCCCCCCCCCCCCCCCCCCTCCCTCCACACCCTCCAAACGCTGCCAGGCCACACTGGCCCTGTCTTAACCGATGCTGTCCCGGACGTCGTGATGAAATCGCACCTGAGCACGAGAACCTGGCGAGAACTGTTTCGACCTAGCACATCCAATAAAGCATTTGCACCTGGGAAATGGCATTGGTTTGCACCAGAACCACAAAATTATTAGTGAAACTCGCTTCCAGCCTGCCCCCATAGAGAGGATGCATTCACCAGTGATTTGTTCCGAAGAACTCAAGCCGAAAGTGCTTTGAAATAGTCTGTGTAGAGGAGTACAACATACAGTAACAACAACATGTGGTGGGGATGGGATACGGCGGGCCAGACGGACTCACATCACCCTGGGGCGCGCCTAGAAAAGATCGAACGCGGATCCTCCTGAACGCGCGCCTGTAGTGGTTTTGGTGCGTTTCAGATGTGGCCGCACGGGAGACGTTCGTATTGTCCAAGGTACAAAATGTCCAAAGGCCACCTTCGTTCGCAAGGGTGTTAGCGAGGACATTTCCCGCGATGCCACAATGTCCCGGTATTCACAGAAAGGTCATATGTTGGTCGGTAGGTAGCGAACGCATTATATTGTGGATGTCATACACTCACGGGTGGTTGAAATCATCGATTCGCTGAAGGGCCTGCAGCGATGCCTTGGAGTCTGTGCAGATCGTAGCCTGACGAATACGTCTGACTGGTATGCAACAGCACTCGTTTTGTATTGTATACGTTCGCAGAGAACACCGTGCTGAAGTTTGGAAGATGTCCGGTGAATCGAAAGTCAGGACCGACGTCTGCCACACCGACCTGGTCACCATGACCAGATCCATCGGTGTTAAAGAAAACGCATTCAGCGTGCGTATTTCGGCACTCCAGTGAGGCAGATTGTTCCTCAACAGGGGACAATTCCGATTTTAGTTTTAAATTGATACTCTTTTGAGGGATCATTGTAAACCAGAAAGGCATTAATGGAGGGCTACGAGCAACGCGTATGCATGGGATGCCAAGGGCTCGTTGCACCTGTTTGACAGCGTCGGATAGGAAACACAACTTTCGCTGCCGTCTTTGTGGGCGCGGCTTATTGGTTTTAAGAGTAGCGCATACCGCGTGGTTCAGCACACTTCGAGATGTGTCGTAGTACCGAAACAGCAAGAAAGAACGTCGGTCTGTCAGCACTGGCAGGTTGATGTCAGCACGGATCGCGAGAGCTGGGATCGTGCGGAGGGCCCCTGTGATCAGACGCAGGCAGTTGATTGAAAGGGTTTTGAGCGTTTACAAAGGTTGACCGAGATAGTGCTGAATATGGAGAAGTTACACTCCAGTGCCGATCGGATGAGACCTGTATAAAGTGTGGTAAGTGTCGTTCCGTCTGCACCTCAGGTATCACCAGCAAGGCGCCTGGAGGCGTTAAGTCGTTTTAAAGTAACGATTTCTGACATCCCCTGTGCGTGCTTAGAAGGTTAGACGTAAGTCCAGTGCTATTCCCAGAAATTTGTGCGACTTGCGGGATGGTAGAGGAATACCGCAGATTTGTGGAGAGACGGCAAGTGACGGTAATGGACCTCGTTTGAAAATGAGCGTAGCGGACTCCGGAGCGGAGAGAAAGAAACATCCCCATTCTGCGCACCAATTCACACAATGCTCGATTGCTTTTTGTAAGACTGAAAAAGACTCTTGACAGCCTATATGTGAACTCCATGTAACAAGGTCGCCAGCAAACAGAAAATATCGGATACATCCAAGGGTGTTGGGAAGTGTGAGAAAAATATCATTGATGGCGATAAGAAACAGCGTTGGAGAAAGTACACCGCCATGTGGAACACCATGATCCGTGCGGTGTCAGTCATATACCGTGGACTGGCAACGTACATTCAGGGAGTGAGTCTGTAGAGAATTGCAAAGAAAATACGCTGTGCGGCCCCTAAGGTCAAAGGTATGTAACTTGCAGATCACGGCGTAGCAATGGACTCTGCTAAATGCTTATGTGGTGAGGTCAATAAATACAGCGACGTTTGGGCGTTGTCAATCGCACTTGGCCTTTATATCTGTGTTGAGACCCATGATGCTTTCTGCTGTACCATGGCTACTTCGAAATCCACTTTGGAGGGCGTCTAGCAGCTGATTTGTTTCGAGAAACCATCGCAAGCGTGTACTGACCATTCGTTCCACCACCTTACATGCACGATTTGTGAGCGACATCGGACGATATGAGTTGGAGGACAGCCTTTCTTTGCCGGGCTTCAGGATTGGAATGACCGTGCTTTGGAGCCATGCGTCTGAGAAAGTGTGATTGGTCCAGCGATTGTTGAAAGCGATTAGGAGTGTTGAAAAGTTAAGAAGATAGTACAAAAAAGCAGAGAAGATTTAAAGAAAAGTAGATGGGATGGTAAAAAAACGAGTTAGTAGCTCATTAGCCGATCAGGGCCAACCGGAGTTTTGTCGCAGCATTTGGTCAGGGGCAGTTCAAGCTCACGCGTGGTAAATGGAGCATTATAGGCTTCATCGTGATCACAGGTAAGCTCGAGGGTGGAAGCTCTATCAGTTAAACATCGCTTAACGCCGGGTGAGTAGATGCTTGAGGAGGACACAAAGGCAAAGTGTTGCGCGAATCTGCTGGCGACCTCACGTGGATCGGCTACAAATCTGCTGGCGACCTCACGTGGATTGGCTACAACGTCGTTTCCTTTCGCAAACTGTGGGAAAGCACACACCTAATTTCGGCGAGAAGCCTACGAGCGGACATGTTCCCAAACTTAACTCGACGGCGTAAAGCGATTGCGCGTCGAAGCAAAGTCCCGCCACGCGGTTTGCCTTTCGCGACGCAACGTCTCATAAAACGCTTTGCGCGCTTTTCTGTACAGTTCAGCATGATGGGCGCAAATGTATTTTGGAAAATTTCTGCGCGCCCTGCGTCGAAGTGCCTTTGTCCGTTGACAGCGCCATTTCCACCATGAAGAATCTTCAGTCCAACCGGGTCTGGAACGCTCCTGAAATGTTTCGGTAGCGGCTGAGAGGACGGCAGTGAGAAAATCTGGTACGGTTTCTCTTAAATCATATATAACATGCCGAGTGACACTTATTAAAGGCTACCCAGTCACCACCACTTGTATGCCATTTATTTGTTGAAAGTGGAGACAGGAATGGAGTCGCACTCGTAAGAATGAGATGGAGGGAAAGTGGTCAAAAAAAAAGATGTCAGTCGCCACAGTCCACTGGAATAATGGAGCGACACAGGGTGACGCAACGGACAAGTCTATGGCTGAGGTGGTGTGGTAAATGAAACTCATAAACGTGTGTGCCACATTGAGGTATACCAGAGAATGTTTGTTTACCACGTTTTCCACCTGGGACTCGCGTGGAGACAGGCGTTTTCTCCCCCAGAGCGGAGAGCGGATTGTGGACGTTAAAGTCGCCAAGTATCAGGCAGTTGGCAGGTATTTGTGAGAGCAAATCGTCAAGAGTGGTCAAGGGTCAAGGACAATTGCTGATTATTGTTTGTGTGAGACCATGCCTCGCCGGCTTTTGGCCGGCCCTTTAAGTCCCTCTTCACCAGCGGAGAACCACTGACGGCGTTTTCATCTGGCGTCCGGAATCCTAAGACTCAGCGTACAATGCCCAGAGCAGTAACACAAGCTCGCTCATTTTATGATGTCTTACAAAGTTCGCATAGATAAGACAGTAGCATTAGCCTTATTCCTCGAAAAAACCAGGAGAATGGAGATATAGTGAGGTTGATGTTTCGGCAACATACCTTTGTCGAAACAATAGCAGAAGTGGATTCAAAATTGCCTGCCTATGATTTTTAGATATTTTTTTTGAAACAGTAAGCCACAGTTTTTACAGGACATCACCATTCAGGGAATTAAACGAAGAGCGATCGCCATTCCTTACCACGATACAGTGCCTATCTAAGAATTAGAATGTGCGGACATACGTGTACATTCATGGACGTGAAATTCTTAGAAAGGCACTGTATCTTGGTAATGGCTGGCAACCGCTCTTTGTTTAATCTGCTGAATGTTGTTGTCCTGTAAAAACTGTGGCTTTCTGTTAAAAAAAAAACAGAAAAATCGGGCAGGATCATTAGCAGGCAATTTCGAATTCACTTCTGCCATTGTTTCTATAAAAACATGTTGCCGAAATACCAACCCAATTATATCGCCATTATCTTGGCTTTTTCGAGGAATAAGGCTAGTACTGCTGCCTTATCCAAGTGAATAATGCTCCTCGCTGATGCACTGAACACCCTACGTGATTTCTAAGAAAGTTTCCTTGGTTGTCATATGCCTTTGAATTAAACGAATTAATTTCGCATGAATAAGTTCATGTATTCTAAGCCGCAGTACGCCAATGCTCGTCGTTTTTATTTGTTTCATGTTAATGCCGTTGAGGGTTGCATCAAACACACCTCGAACGGTGCAGTTCAGTTCATGGTATCGATGCACGAGTCAATGCTTTTGGTAGAAACTTTGCGTGCATGCAACACTGCGCGCAGTACCTTGTATGTAACACACTCCTCATCGGTATCAATCACACATCTCACTACCTATGAGCCCATCGCTAACCACGTGCCATTGCGAGCAGGTCATGATGCGAAGTGGAAGGAGATTATTAGAATGCAAAAAATCGGACGCATGTTGCCATCACTCCACGACAGGGGCGCAGTCAGGATTTAGGACGGGGGGGGGGGGCTATCAGGAATTGCGATGGGGGAAGTGTAGGATCCCAGCCCAGACGCAATCGTTTTACGGGAGGATCGAGACAAGGTACTGGCTTCACTAAATCAGCAATATCGAATAATTTGTTATGTGTGCGCGAAACTTCAAAGTTGACAGTGTCTGCCATGTGACGACAAAATTGTTTTTATTGGTGTGGTTGTGTTTTGGAAAAGAGAAGTGACTTTTGATCGGTAGCCAGGATCAGTAGGCTAACGCCCTCGCAGCATTCGTAAAGGATCTCAATAATCCTGCCAACATTGGCTATGCCATCTGACCGTAGTTCCCTCGAAATAGTAAAATGGCCGACGCAAAACTTGCATTTCATCGTAAGTTGGTGTGGCCGTGTAAGCATTGCCACACCTGCCACACTAAATCTCTTATTCCCGCGCTGGTGGTTTGAACTGGTGAAGTGTTATTTGGAAGCAGAAAGTGTCGTCCTTATTGGCGCCCAATAAGCCCAGGCGTTGGCTTCAACGTTACCGTTACTGTATAGATCA